AAGAGCGTTCTGGAGGCCATGTGGTCTGCATCCTCTCGCAGAGAGACTGTCTCGATGCATGCAATCAATCCTGTCATAAAAATCTCAGTAAGGAAACGCATGCTAGCAACAGAACCACTGTGGTATCCTTGCCAGGGTCTGGGTTTGCCCTGGCTCTTACCTGCTTAAATCCACTGGGGGTTCTGTCTTCGGTGGAGCCAGACCCCAGCCTGCAGGGACTGTCTGACTCTCCAGCAACAGCAAAGCCTGTGCTTGGTGAACAGCCTTCTCCCACCAAGCAGGAAAAAGCCACATGGTTGGATAGGCAGGTGATTGAACATGGTTTCCTAGAGACAAGGTACAGAGCTGCTTCGTTTCTTTTAATAGTTAGGAGTCTCTGATCTGTGAGTGCTGAGCACACCTCACCACATTCTCACAATGCTGATGGCCCTTCCTAAGTCAGGGTCTTTGAACAAAGGTCACCAGGGCCTTCTACTTCTTTGCTTTTGCTTTCTTTCCTTTGTTTCCTTTGTGGGGCTTCAGAGATTCATCTTGGACAGGCTGGCCAGTGGTCATGGGAAGGAATGGGGTAGGAGTGTTGAGATTTAAAGTCTTCTTCTGCAGCTTCAGGTCCAAAATATCAAAAGTGATCTGAATCTCGTACTGCAGCAGCTCCTTCAGGCATTCGATCTGGGTGTGAATGGCCTCCCTGATGAGTTTTTCTAACTCCTGGAAGAAATGGAATGTGGCTAGTAAGCAGGGCCCTGGGGAAGTCTGCAGACAGAGTTCTCCCACTGGATCCACTTCTCCACTCAGTGCTTATTTTGTGCGTGAGGGTAGATCCACTCTCCACACTTCCACCCTGCTCTGGGTCCAAGGAGGCTGACTCAGAAGGGCTACATCTGTCTGTGGACACACACCTTGGTCTCTGACTTTGGCTGAGTTCAGCCAGTGGGAGGTCTCTGCAGGAGATCTGAGAGTGTCAGGATGGTGAGGTCACCTGCCTTCCTTCCAACCAGCTGAGCTGGCCATGAGTGGTGGTCCTCTACCTGTCGTCACACTTCCTATTCCATGACCCTCTCTTCTAGCTACAGGTCTCTGCCTCTTTTAAATATTTATTTATTTATCTATTTATTTGTTGTAATTTTCAAGTTGCTGGGTCTGGGACTCAAACCCTAGTCAGCCATGTGAGAGTCCAACACCTGAACCACCATGTCATCTGCTGGTCCCAACTATAGGTCTCAATAACCACTTCCTCCCCTTCCCTCTTCAGGCCTAGGCTGGCAGTCACTCTGTTTGAGTGTGTCATTTGCTTCTAACATTACTCTGGGCCCATCAGTCAATCTAATATTCCTTGTGGGCTCTACACTCAAGTCAATGGAATCTCATCTGGTACCACACCCCTCCTGTCCTCATTCTCACTTCTTACAGTTCTCTTGGCAAGCTTCATCAGAGGGGACAGGGGAAATCAGAGAGTGAGCATGTCCCCTGACCAGCCAGTCACAGGAAGAATGGAAACTTAGCCACTACCTGCCATGTTGAACAGGAAACACTGCTAACTCCCTCAAAATCATGGCACCATGGAGTCCTAGAGACATGGGCCATGTAACTGTCTCTCCAAGTTCCCTGTTTGAGCAGCCACACAGCAGAGGAGGGTTTATGCATATCCAATGGTGTTGGAAAACATACTTGAGTATACATTGCCCATAATACACTTCTTTGAGATCTCATATTTTAACTTAAAATGCTATGCAAAAATGCATAGTTTACCCAGAACATCCCCTTGGTTGTTTTTATGTCACAATCTTCCCTCAAATCTTTGGGGATGATTGTTCCAAGAACATGATTGTCCTATGGCATTGAGTGTCGGCTCAGGCTTATGGCCAGGGCCATGCAGTGGAGGGGTCTTAGCTCACAAGCTTGGTGGGCAGGGATCCACAGTGGGGTGATGAGTGCAGGAAAGGGAGCCGGGAGGAACAGACAAGGTAGCTGGGGGATATGCAGGAGAGCAGAGAGGAGATGAGGCATCCCCTACCCCAGCTATGACTTTGCTCTTGTATTCTAGAGCCAGGTGCCTTGAAAGGGCTGGAGACAGGCTGTTGTTTGACTTTAGTTAGGCGCCCAATGGCAGTCAACACACTGACATCACAGAGCATCCTGATGTGCTATTTTTCTGGAGACTTAACCTCAGATAAGGATCATTCATGCTGTTGGATTCATTGTTCTTCAGAGATTTTCCTAGTGTGTGTGCATGCATACATAACATATATGAATATATGTATTTATTTTTTATGATAGTGTGTTTGTGTGCACACATGCAGATGCATGTGAGGGGGATGGAGACAGACAGACAGAGAGAGACAGAGAGAGAGAGAGAGAGAGAACAAGCACTCACAGCAGGGTCTCATCACACTGTGATCCCCACTCACCAGCCCTCCAGCTCCTTAGGACCATGGGCACCTGAAGGCATGCCCCAAGTGCTTTCAGGCCGACCTGGGGATCTGAACCTGCAATCAGCCTTATTGTTTCCAGCCTTATAAGGCACTTGGATTATGGCTGTGCTACAGCAAGCTGAACCTACACACACACACACACACACACACACACACACACACACCTTGTGTGTGGGGGGGGGGTTGGTGTTATTTTGAGGTTTTTGCCATAGGGTCTGTGTGCTTGCTGGAGAGACACAGAGTAAGACAGAAAGCGAGAAATCACTCCTCAGGGAGAATGGTCATGCCACAATCTCATCTCCTCCATTTTCCTCTCAGGATTTTGGGCATGAAGGGAACATGTGCCTGGCATGTTTTTCAAGCCACTGAGTCCAGGACTTGAACCATGGAGTTGGCTATGTGAGATCTAATTCCTTAACTATCACACCACCTATTGGCTCTGACACACACATATTTAAAGGAATACTTCTCAAAGAACCAGCAGTTGGCATAATGGCTATGTCGCTGGACTCCCATATAGTCGACTGCAGTTTGAGTCCCAGACCCGGTGGCTTAAACTCATGCTGGGCACATGTGTGTGTGTGCCCAAGATCCCGAGAGGAGAATGGAGGAGAAGGGATTGCAGCGTGGTCATCCCCCCTGGGAGGTGATTTCTCGCTTTCTGTCTCTCTGTCTTTCTGGCGAGCGCAAGTGCCCTGTAGCAAAAACCTCTCCAAAAAAAGAAAAAAAAAAAAACTTCTCAAATACTTCTCAAAAACAGTTCCCTCTTAGCTGACAATTCAGAAACCAAAACCTTTTAGAACACATGGGTCCTCTGATACCTTACCCCCACTCCCCAATGCCCACAAAGTTGGTATGTACACTTACAGACATGCATACACATACCCACATGTGCGCAGACTCATCTGTTTGAAGATGATGCAACAATGGTGATGTCAAAAGCCCGTACAGCTGAAATACTAATTTAGACTCAGCAGGCCCTCAAGAAGCCGGCCGCCCTGGGGCCAGCCTAATCACATCGTGGAAGAGCTGGTCTTTGGAGACCAACTTCATGAATGATCCTCATTTCAGGTGAAATCTCCAGCCAGGCCTCGGTCTAGTTCAGTGGCCTTGGGTTCCCTGAGCCGCCCTCGTCTCATCACTAAAATGGGGATATGAATTTTGACCTCGCAGGGATTTGCATGACAATGTGTGTGTAAAGCCTATGGCAGACACTGGACTCCTCTCTTTCCCCCCCCCATGGGCAGATGATGAGGTCCTGTCCGTACGTGACTACAGCCTGGATGTGGTCCCATGGGACTGGCACTCTGCCTGGCCTGTGGTGGAGCCTCACCTCTCTCCTTAGGAGCCGCCTGGGCTGTGCGGCTGCCTTCTGGAACACCTTCTGCAGTGTGTGCTCCTGCTCCATGTGCAGCGCCTCCTTCAGGAGCAGTGTGTTGGTGTGCTTTTGGACCTCCGCTGTGCTGAGCTGGGCCACCTCCTGCTCATGCTCCCAGATGTCCTTGTCCATGCCCTCGGCCAGTGGGAGAGGCTGGGGTGGTGCACACACCTCCACGTGACCGACGGTCAAGCTGACGTCTCGGTCTTGGCCCAGGACATACTGGTAGAGTTTGTAGTGGCGGATGAAGGTGTTGTGGAAGTAGTCACAGAGGGCCAGCAGGTGGGTGGTGTTGAACTGCCTCTGATAATCCCTGAGCTTGTTCCCCAGGATTGTCACAGCTTCAGTGATGGAGCAGCCTGTGGGCGCAGAGTAGACAGGTTCAGAGTGTGAAGGGGGCAGAGCTGCAGTGATAGTCAATTAAAAAGGTTCAGAACCTAGGCAGTCCAAGCCCAGAGTCCACTTCCTAACCATGATTCTGTGTTACCATTCATTAGCTTCTGAAAGCTATCAAGTTTGTCACATTCCCCCTTTTATCTTGGTTTCCAGGAAGCTCCGAGCTAGTTTTATGCCGGAACTGACATTTATCCCATTTTTTTCCTCTTATATGATTATCTCACTCCTTACCTGTCTTTTGGCAGAGGACACGTGTGTGCTTGAGAGAGAGAGAGAGAGAAAGGAAGAATGGGGGAGAGAGAAAGCACTCCCTAATGAGGCATGATCGTGTAACAATCATGTTTTCCTCTATTTCTCCATTCCATTAAGATTTGGGGAATATGTGTTTGGCATGGTTTTCTAGTCACTATAGCCAGGATTCAGTCACAGTTTGCCATATGAGAGCTGGGTTACTATATATAGTACTTGACCACGGGGTGACAGGACCAGCTTTGTATTTAGTCTTTTTATTTATTTATTTATTTAGTTTTAACAAGCAAATCAAGTATACTATCACATATATAATTTTCTTTTTCTTTTTTTAAAGTATATAAATCATCCTGTTATGATTCCTTATTTTTGTGTATTTTACATGAAATATTTGGCTCATCTTAAATATATTTTATTAGGAAAAGCAAAATATAGACCCATCGTTTTTTAAAAAGTTCATTTATCTTTTAAAATTGAATACCTTTTATTGGATTATCTGTTAATTTTTCCTTGGTAAATTTATTTATTTATTTTATTTAAATTTGTTTATTTGCATTCATTCACTGTACATCATTACAGCATACAAAATGAGATTTTTCATCCAGAGTACACTGTATATTGTCTTAATCAAGCACATCAACAGACGTGTTATTGTCAGCAAATAATTTTCCATTCTTGTTTTCTGTATGTTTTCCTTTTTTTTCCCCCATCCTTGATTCCCTATCTCTTACCCTCTGCCATCTCCCACTCTCCTCCCACACTGTCTCTGGTATCTGTGTTTGCTTTCTATACTGTTTTCCCCCCAAATTTTATTGAATTACTAAAACTATGTATATAATTTTCAAAAGATAATTTTACGTTCTTCAGTCTGTTAAATGTTTCTTCTTTTCGTTCCTCTCACCGACCATATTACTCTCTACCATATACTTCTCTCCTTTATAAACTTATCCATCCTACTATCTTATTTTTAAATCTTTCAATTACTTCCCTAGAGTGCAGACATTCAGCATATATCAAGCAGGGATTTTCAGTATTGGTCTTTCAAAGTCTGAATTATTTCACTTAGCAGTAGGTCTTCCATATCCAGCCACTTTGAGACAAATGACAGTGTCTCATTGTTCCTTACGACTGAATAATACTTCACAGTGTATATGTGCCACAATTTTGTCTTTTAATTTCTTTTTTAATAATTTCTTTTTATTTTATTGATTGATTTTATTCATGATAGAACACATATACACAATGTGAGAGAGTGGGAGACAGGAGAGAGCAACCTCCACAAGGCATGGTCATGTTGTGATCTCCTTTATCCAGTCTTCTAGCCTGCAGGGATCCTGGGTATTCATGCATACACCCAGAATGTTTTCTGGCCAACTGGGGACTCTGTGGTAACTATGTGACTTCCAGTTCCACAGGCTGACATACTACCAACTACACTCCAGTGGCCTGTGTCTTACCTTCTATTTTAAGGACTTACTTTAAAGTAGTAAATCCATGCCTTATAGTATTTCCATTTCAAATCCTTTAGAAAGAAGAGGAAGCTGTCAAAAAGGGATTCTGATAAGAGTTAAGTATGAGGTGTTGGAGAGATGTCCATGCAACTGTTATACTGGTGACTTGCATCACAGCATTGGAAAAATGTTATTTATCCCTTGCAAAGAATCAGCCTGAGGGTAGCATCAGGGAAAAGCTCCCAGATGGAAAAGCATCTTCTCCTCTCCTCCCTGGTTCTGTCTTGCTCACTTTCTTGCTTATAATCATTGGGAGAGCTGCATCAGAGTTCGGAAGTGGGGCTCTCCCCAGCACATGGCTGGGCTTGACAGAAACAGTGGTTTGTGAAGGGTTGTGGCTGGATTATGTGCAGATCCTGATGAGCAGAGACCAGCAGGTCATGAAGCAGCCAGAGAACATGGTGCGAGGAGACCTGATTCTCACACACATGCACACTGTCTCCAAGGTGTGCTGTGAACTTGGCTGAGTTTCTCCTGCTCTCTGACCCAGCGTCCACCTTCGCAGAATGGAAACTTGGGTCAGGTCACCACCAGGGCACATGCTCTTGGGAATTCCGTGCCTTCTAGTGACAATGGAGAGAAGGTGTTGGATGCCTGGAGGCTGTTTTTCACTCAAGTAGTGGCCTGGCTTATCTGCAGACTCTTCCTCTTCCTGGGGGACTCCCCATAGCCCTGGCAGAACCTCTCCATCTCTGGCCAGTGCTTTCCATGCTCTTTCAGGAGGGATGTCTCAGCTTTCCCCATAGTTGTTTTGAACTCCTCCCATTCCCAACACTATCTTCCTCTTGGCTCCTTTCTGGGCTATCTTGGTCCTGCATGGGAATATTTACCTTTAGTCTCTGCCCCCCACCCCCACCCCCAAGAACAGAGAGGGTAGAGGCATCATTGTCTGAGAAAATTGTCAGTAGAAGGAGTCCCTCTGCGTCATGGACCTCATTAGGATGTGCTGGGCGTATCACCTGCATTAGTAGGCTGCAGTCTTCAGGTAGGGAGGGAGTCCTCTCCATTGTGTAGTCAAAGGGCAGTGGGAGAGACTTTGCCCTTTTTCAGGGCAACCTGAGTCTCAGAGGACCAAGGGTGTGCTCCTGTCTCGGAAGAGATCACCGAGTTTTAAGTTTTGGGATACTATCCACTCCTAGCTATGATACTTGGGACTTCATTCTCTCAAATGTAAAACGGAGAGCACTTACGTTACTTCAGAGCTTGCTGGGAAGGCTGAATGAGATCACATGCCCATGTGCTTTGCACAGAGCCTACTAAAAGGTGGTAATCAATAAAAGCTATAGGAAAAGGAGAATTTGTTTCCACTTTTTTGTCTCCCCTCCCTTCCCTTCCTCTCTCCCTTCTTTTCTTTCTCTGTCCATCCTTCCAACCATGTACCCACTCATCCACCCACCCATCATCTGTCTCTCCATTTGCCCATCCATCTAACCATCCATTCATCCAAAAATAATTTGTCAAACTATTGCTCACCCTATAAACTGTTTTTTTCCTAACAATTCCTAGGCTGGGAGTCCTGGCAATGCCATGATAACTAAGATACCTCCTCTGCCCTCAAAGTGCTTGTAGCAGGGATACACAAATGATAATTATGGGCCAAGAGGAACAGAGTGGGGCAAAGAGGAGCACTCAGTTCGGGACTGAGGTCTTCCTGGAGAAGGAGATCAATGGGCAGCATCCCAGAGGCTGTGGAGGCTGAGCCAGGCACAGAGGGGAACACTGCTCAGTGACAGCAGATGGGCAGGAGGCAGCATGGCCCAGTAGGGGGCAACAGGCTTCACTTTGGCACATAACAGTGGAGCCAATGATAAGGGTCAACTGGAGAAGTGGGGAAGATGGGCAGGAGGGCCTTGAATGCCTTGTGCAGAAACCAGGGCCATCTCCTCGGCAGTGGGTGGAAGGAGCAGATCTGAGTGGCAGGACTGGGGATTGTTGGCTGTGGTGTGAGATAGGAGCCTGCACAACTCCCAGGTTCTTACCAGGGGTGCTTAGGGGACAGTGGGGCCACCAACAGAGAGTGCAGCATATAGTGGGACATTTACCACTGACAAGAGCTTCCAGCCAGGAAGAGGAGAGTTGAACTGATGATGACCACCTCTGTATTCTCAGTCCCCAGCACCAGGATTTACGCATAGAAGGGGCCCAATACGTAGCCACTGAGTCAATGAACCGACTCCAGTATTAAGTGCAGCGATGGAGCTATTTATTTATTCAGTCGGTAAATACTTATCAGGGGGTTTTGTGAGCTCAGAACTCTTCCAGGTCCCGAGGAGGCATGGAGGGCTAAGGAGAAAACACACAGAAGGTGCACCCTGGCACAGGGCTGTGTGGGTGGCCAGGAGGGCACACACCGGGAAGGAGTGTGTTCTCAGGGGATCGGAGTTCATTTTCTGAGAAAGTGAAGGGGGGGGGCTGAGAGAGTGTCAGAGGAGTCTCCTGGGCAATAGCAGGTGGGAAAGAAGCAGACACAGGGAACAGCTTGTGCAAAGGCCCTGTGGTTGAAGAGAGCATGGTCCATGCAAGGAACTGAAGGGCCTGAAGAGGGCAGTGGTGAGCAGACCAGAACTCAGAGGGTGAGGCTGGGAGGTGGGCAGGGACTGGGCAGTGCAGTTCCTCAGAAGCCCCTGGGCTGCCCTGTCCTACACAGGTGTCACTCTGGGAAGGCACAAACTCAGAGAGGCCCTCCCGGCTGCCCCATGCCACACTACTGTCACATTTTCTTCAGCACTTATCACTATGTGACACCCTATGTGTTTTACTTATGTGCTTTTTATTCCTCCTCCAGAATTCAAGCTCTCAGGGAGCACGGAGCTTTGTCTTTTCTGTTCAGCCCTGGATGCTGGGTTCTAGCACAGTGCCTGCCCACAGGAGCTGTTCTGAGGGTAGGGAGAGATCCGTCGAATGAATGTGAGCAGTGGGTGTTTACAGCAATGTTTAAAGGGAGTGGGAGGCACGGGGGCAGGCCATTCAAGAATTACTTATGGGGTCAGCCAGGTGGCATGGTGGGTAAGGCAGCTGGATCCCCTAAGAGCTTCCTCCCAGGAAGAGGAGCGCTGATCGAATAACGGCCATCTTCCTATTCTTGGACCCCAGCACCAGGATTTTTGAGCAGCAGCATCCCACTGCATGATTTAAGTCTGAGACGTGGCAGTTTGAAAAACTAACTGGGCATGTGTGCGTGTGTAGCCAAAATCCCGAGAAAA